CATTTTTTTCCAAGAACAGCACAACTGTGGAACACTCTCCCCCTTTCGGTCTTCCCTCCAACGTACAACATCCATGTTTTTAAACGCAGAATCAACAAGCTGGTTCTAGCTTGAATGTTCCCCATACCTTCTCACTTACAGTATATCTTCGGATCATGGGGTTTACCCTTTTTACTGTATTCACTTTTGTGTAATAAAAAAATTCATCTGACCACATTCACCAATTCACGGTCAACAGCACGTGACGCTGAACTGCCCCGGGTCCTGCGACTGACCGCCCTCGCCATTGGGAGATATGCGGATATGTAGACAACACGTTCGTAAGAAACAGCCAGCGAATAGAATAATTCATTCATCATCAGAAATTGAAGAAAAAAGCAATCGGCACTGACTAAGCTCACAGTTAACAATTCTTTATCGGGAAGCATTTGAACCCAGAGATAAGGGTTACACACGACATATTGTGTGAATGGCTCCAAGACGCAACAATATCAGGGGGGAGGATGCCGCATTGTCTTCGAGATTGTGAGTTGGTGGGATAAGGGTTTATGAGTCAGGTGTACAGGAGAACAGGTATCGGAAGATAAAGAGTAAAACTGAGCTTTGAGGGATCATGACGAGGAATGGAGTGTGAATAAGTGAATAGCACAGGGAAAGATTCGAATGTACACGTGCAGTTTGAAGAGGTTGTGTGAATCAATGAGTAACTTTGTTGGCTAGGCGCTACACACGAGAACAGATGGACACACCGACAGACAGACAAATCGCTCAACAGAACAGCATACAAACCCGATCAACACCCAAATTGCCCGAGAACCGAGAAGCAGAGGGATCGCACCAAGAATATAGTGATGCCGATTTACTTGGTGAATGTCAACAGGTCATGCATCAGATCGCAGACACAAACGTAGCGAGGTTGGGTAAAAACCCAAAAATGACGAATGTGCTGGTCTGGATTTTTTGTATTTGATATTGGGTGAATATTTCCTGCTAGAGAGCAGCACCCGACCTGTGGCATTGTGATCACCGGTGGCATCGAGGTGCAGTGTGAGGTAATCGAGACAGAAGGGTGCAACCAGGCCTGACGGCTGTCGTTGGCCAAAAAAGAAAAAAACCTACTCAAACAGACAGTGTATTGCGCTTCGCGTAGACAACAAAGTATTACACTAATTCACCGCAGAAACAAGGTCGAGAAGTGTGTACAAAGCAAAGAAGAGTCTATGGTGTTGGTGACATGAAAGAGGATCGGAAGTGAAAGTTCAACATTAGGTGAAGGCGTTTGGCGGAATTTTCCCAGCCGAATTTAGAGCATGAAATGCATTCAATGCCTGGTCCAGATTCCATGCATACTCATCCAAACACTGACGAGCAAAAGCTTCATTCATTCCCGAACGTGCCCGCATTTCATTTAGAACGACCACTTGTGTAGCCGGGTTCGGTGGCACGAGTCCAGTGGATACGGTCGGTTGGACGGCTGTGGATGAAGAAGACGTTGCGTTACCGGTACCAGAAGACGACTGTGCTTTTGCGGCTACCTCCGATATATAACGCTGCGAAACAAGAAAAAAACAAAAAGCAAATCAAACGGGGAACACCGTGTTGAGCGTTGGAGAGAACTGATCGATAATAACACTCTGATGGTCTGAAGGGAAATCAGAAAAGGTGCTGAACACCAATAGATGATTGNGATTGTAAATCGGAGTAATACCTGCATACGACTGCAAGATTTCGTATAGTGAAGCGGTGCTCACGCCTATCGCGCAACACAAAGTCGAAAATGTGAGCACTATTCGGTTTCACGAGCGGATTTTTGACAAACAAAACTGTGCAAAATAAATAGACAGACTTGATGATACTTTTTGGCTGGTAGAATGACCGACTGATTTGGCGGAAAAACTTATAAATAAGTCCCAAATGCATAGAAGAAACATGTCCAAGAAAGAGGGAGTGGACTAGGTGGTGGATTGGTCGTTTGAGTCACATGCTCACTTACCTTGCACAATAAAGGAGAGGGATTAGAAACGATCAGATCGTCTTGAATTATGTGTCCACCCGGAGCGACCAAGATCATGGTGCGTGAGAAACAGCGCAACGTTTTGCGTACGGTTTTCTGTACCGGACTAGCCTGAGCGTTTGATCCACCGCTGGCAGGAGTGACCGAATGGACCTCATAGAACACACCTGTCACAGTGAACAGAATTTGCGTGTCCTGCGAGGAGCGGAAATCAAGCGAGGGCCGGAT